TCCTGAATCTCTCAACATCCATCTTTCATCATGGACACCACTGAATTGGACAAAGGATTCCAGCTGCAGTCACACAAATGGCAAATCCTGAGATTAAATAATTTCCCTACCTTACGTTGAATTTCCCCAGGTTATGATCTCAGGATCACATTGGCACTTTTGGCCACAGGTTACACCGGGAGCTCCTACTTTGTTAATTATCTTTTCATACTGTAAGAGGATTGGGCCCCCAATGTGCTGAGACCCCACTGAACCTGTTTTCCCTGCAAGCTTGGGCCCGTGGGTACCCTGTCTTGTCATGTCAAACACAGAAGCCTGCTGACCTTAATTGAAAACGGCACAGTGAGAACCTTCTACAGGCCAAAGCCCCACCTAAATCCATCTTATGCTGTATAGAGATCTGTACAGTATACGCTAATGAAATTTTCCCTCTTTCTCAATGTAAAGTGAGATACACACAGATTCCTTGCCCAGTAACGTTGTTTACACAGGTTTTATGAATAACCAGAAGTGATTTTAAAAATGACTAGTCCTGTGACACCACAGAGACTAATAAAAATATATGTAGTATCATGAGATTTCATGGGCATAACCCAGTAAAAGATAAGGTTGAAGTGGTCATAACTTACTAAGCAAAATGGAACAGAACACACAAGCTATGTTTAATACAGTCAAGAAACTAGTTAACATATAATATATCACCCTAAAGTTATTCTAATAATCATCTTCACAGACTTGATGTCTTTCCAGTCTGGTCCACTTTTTTCCCCCTCTTTAGCCTTAGATGTTTCTAGCAGGGAGAACTGATCACCTAGACTATCTTATTCTCCACCTGTAAATAGGTTTTGCAAAAGGCAGACATTCTTTGTGTTCAGTCTAATTTTTCTCTTTGGTCTTGTGGAAAAATAGAGCATCCAAGATGGATCCCTGCATTAGGTCCCTCCTTCTAGGCTTACAGGGGGAAAAAAAGTATATTCACAGATCATTGTCCTAAGTATTAGGCCATTAAGTTCCTCCAGTGCTACTAATAGCCCTCACTTAGGATAGTAACACAGATTTATACTTAATATTTCTAACTTCAGATACAGGAATGATACATGTTAACAAATGGGATACTTTTAATCAGTAGATTACAACTTTTCCAATGATACCTCACATTAAATATCTTAAGCATATTTCCATAAAGAATCCCATAACTCATGCTTCCCACAAGAGTGTCCATTGTGTTAACATCCCCTATATTCTTTGATCCTAGGGGCAGATAGCAACTTATCTGTATTAAAACACACATGAATTAGTCTGACCCCAGTTAAAAACCACTCCATATTGCTTTGACTCAGTGACTCATGCCTTTCATTATTCACAATCCCCCAATTTTTCAGTCAGCTGTAAATATTGTTGATAATTCGGCACCCAAAAGGTAATTAGCTGAGTTGCCAATATGTCACTCTGTTTACTCTTGTCAATTCCTGCCTTGGCAGGGGGCTGGACTCAGTGAGCTCCCGAGGTCTCTTCCAGCCCTAAGATTCTATGATTCTAGATATAAATTGTAACTTCTGTCTCAGACAAAGCTGTGTGACTGCACGAAAGTGTCTCCACAAAAGGAACAAGGGAAATAACAGTGGTGAAGGTTTATAGCCCAAAAAACCAAGACCTCTGTTGTCATCATGTACATTCTGATGAGTACAAAGTCATAGCTCAGCATGATAATGTCTGTTTCCAGGGGGGAAATTTGGCTCCTTTCAGTATAGAATTGTATTGTGAATCAGATCTACAGTCCATCTAATGCAAAGTCCTCTCTGTGATGGTGACAACCTCAGATGTAAGAAACACATCGGTGGGTGGATGGGGGTTGTAGTCTAAATGCCATACGAGGGTAACCCTTGTGCCTAAGAACTAGAAATTGTCTTGTCCCTGCAACACATGGGTGTATAGATTTTCCAAAACATTTATTTAGCTGTAGCTAACTGGAGAGTCTCACTATCCATGTAAACATCCAAGTCCTTCCTGATTCTTGCTTAGCTCATGTCCTCGACCCCCTTTTGTGATAAGGAACTTTTCACTCTAATTAGGCATGAATTAAGTGGAATACCCTGTTGATCTTGTGTTATAAGTCAGGGTACGTCTACACTACAGCGCTAGTTCGAACTAACTTAGTTCGAATTAGTTAATTCGAACTAAGTTAATTCGAACTAACGCGTCTAGAACTAAAAACTAGTTCGAACTAGCGTTTTGCTAGTTCGAACTAGCAAGTCCACATTGAGTGGACTCTGAACAGGGCTTAAGGATGGCCGGAAGCAGTGCCGGCAGGGCATAAAAGGAGGACTTAGAGCATGGAGATGCTGTCTCAGGCTAGCCGAGGGCTGCGCTTAAAGGGTCCCGACCCCCACTCCGGACACACAGTTCTAAGGGGTGCCCCGCTTGCAAAGAAGTTCTGGCTTGGAGTGCCCGGAGTACCCACACTGGGCACATCACACCACTCGGCCATCAGCCCAGGTGCACTTGCCGCAGGCTGCCATCTGGGGAGAGGGAGTAATTGGGGGGCTGCAGGAGAACTTCCACCCCCAGAAGCCCGCAGAGCCAGCCCAGTCCTCCCCATCGGGGGCTCGTACCCCATTCCTCCCTCACCTCCTTCCACTTACCCTTCCTTAGCCCCCCTTCTTATTGATGTACAAAATAAAGATAACGTTTCTTCCAACATTGACTCTGTCTTTATTGAACAAAAACTGGGGGAGACTGGGAAAAGGAGGTGGGAGAGGGGAAGAGAAAGGCTGGGAGAGGGGAGGGCAACTAACATGATCAGGGGTTGGGAACAGGTCCCAGACGAAGAGAGGCTACAGAGACTGGGACTGTTCAGCTTAGAAAAGAGGAGACGGAGGGGGGACAGGATAGAGGTCTCTAAAAGCAGGGGTTGGGTGGAGAGGGTGCATTCAGAAAAGTTCTTCCTGAGTTCCCATAAAGAAGGACTAGAGGACACCAAAGGAAAGGAATGGGTAGCAGGCTTGAAACTAGTAAGAGAAAGTTGTTCTTCTTGACAAAGCAAATAGTTAACCTGTGGAACTCCTTGCTGCAGGAGGCTGTGAAGGCTACAGCTAGAACAGAGTTTAAAGGGAAGTGAGATCAAGTCATGGAGGTTGGGTCCATGGAGTCCTATTAGCCAGAGGGTAGGAGTGGTGTCCCTGTCCAAAGTTTGTGGAAGGCTGGAGAGGGATGGCACGAGACAAATGGCTTGGTCATTGTCTTCGGTCCATCCCCTCCAGGGTCCCTAGGGTTGGCCACTGTTGGCAGACAGGCTACTGGGCTAGATGGACCTTTGGTCTGACCCAGGACGGCCATTGTAAGCTCAGGGCTCAGGGTCGGGGGTCTCAGTGGACCCCCTTGATTTTCATGCACACCTGCTCCTGGGTGGCCAGGCTGGCAGCTCTCCTGCCCTAGACGGCCACTTTCCTGTGCCTAGTGCGGAGATCGTGGACGAGGTCCACGATGTCCGCACTAGCCCAGGAAGGTGCCCGCCTCTTGAGGTCCAGGGCAAGCTCCCGGGAGCCGCCAGCCTGGTCCCGGCAAGAGGGGGTGGGCTGGGGGGCATCGGGTGGGTGGCTCTGTGCCGTGCCAGGTGCAGGGTCTGCTAGCTGGGTGCTGGCAGGCTTGCACCTGGCACGGGCACCGTAGCCAGCCCGTGTCCCTTTAAGGGGTCCGGGGCCGGGAGGGGGGCATAGAGTTTCCCTGGTGTTGGCCAGAGTGGCCACCAGGGAAACCTGGGGAGGGCTAGCCTCCCACTAGTTCGAACTAAAGGGCTACACAGCCCTTAGTTCGAACTAGCTAGTTCGAACTAGGCGTTAGTCCTCGTAAAATGAGGTTTACCTAGTTCGAACTAAGCGCTCCGCTAGTTCGATTCAAATTCGAACTAGCGGAGCGCTAGTGTAGCACCTATTAAAGTTAGTTCGAACTAACGTCCGTTAGTTCGAACTAACTTTGTAGTGTAGACATACCCTCAGGGAGAACACATTCTCGATTTACCCTCTACTAGTCAGTGTTTCATAGAGTTTTCTAATATCCCTTCTTGTTCTTCTCCTTTATAAAGTAACAATCGCAGTCTTTTCAACCTCTCTACATATGAAAGTTTCCACTGGCTGTTGATCTTACTTCTTTCCCTTGCCTGAACCCCCTTTATTCTCTAATAACCTGTGTGAAAAGGGTGCTGAAGACTATACAGTGAGAGTGTATCTACACAGCACCCTAAATTCGAAATAAGATATACAAATTGCATAACTTATTTCGATTGTATTTCAAAATAGCATATTTTGAAATTTGGTGCATCTGTAGCGCACAGGCTTTCGAAATAACACACTATTTCGAGATATCCCTTGACCCTCATGGAATGAGGATTACGGGGATGCTGAAATAGTGGATGCACTATTTCAAAAAATATTTCAAAATAACGGGCAGCTTGTTAAGACATGGGGTAATTATCTCGGGATACTTCTGGTATCCCAAAAAAGCTGTGCTGTGTAGAAATACTCTGAAGTCTACTGGAGAATGAAATATTGATGGACTGATATCAGGGCAATGTATTTTCTGTATGATTCCTTATTTCACTCACCTTGGATGCCAGTGTTTTGCTCAGTTTCACTTCATGCTTGCACTGTGAGCAAAGTTTCACAGAGCTGTGTACCATGATGTCCAGATTCCTATCCTGAGGTCAAGCTTTTTGTGCAATTCCTGTCATACCCACCATTAGGCAAACTCGTTGCAGTTATTAACATCAAAGCTCATCTGTCCTCATGCTGCCCATTCACCTTGGTTAGCTCCCTGTGATGACGTCTCTCAACTTGAGTATGACCTAATACATTCAATGTTGTCTTCAAATGTAGCCGTTTTACTTCTCCTGCTTTCTAGATTGGGAATGTCAGTGAAGTATTTTATCATATTACTTGTTATAAAATGTGTAACCTCTCCTCAGTGTGCTTTTCTCCCTTCGCAGGCACCCTGAGCATTTCTGAGCCAGATTCATGAATCAGTCACCTCATGACAGACTTTAACCTCACCCCCTCTGACTCTCCATCATTCATCCTGATGGGCATCCCTGGCCTGGAAGCGGCCCACGTCTGGATTTCCATCCCTTTCTCTACCTTCTACATTCTGGGCCTGCTGGGTAATTTCACAGTTCTGTTTGTGGTAGGCAAAGAGCAGACCCTGCACAAGCCAATGTACCTGCTGATCTGCATGCTGGCGCTCACAGACATGGGTATGTCTACCTCTGTCGTGCCAAAGGCCCTGTGTATATTTTGGTTCAACTGGAAAGGCGTGACTCTAGGTGGCTGCCTCACCCAGACGTTCTTCCTTCATGCAGTTTCTGTGATGCACTCAGCCGTCCTCGTGACAATGGCCTTTGATCGCTACGTTGCCATATGTGACCCTCTGAGATATGCCACCATCCTCACCAACACACGAATAGCAAAGCTAGGGCTGGTGGGTTTGACAAGAGCCATTCTCTTCCTTCTGCCCATGCCCCTGCTCCTAAGCAGGCTGCCGTTCTGTGCCATCCATACGTACTGTGACCACATGGCTGTAGCAAAGATGTCGTGTGGGGACTTCACAATCAACAGGACGTATGGCTTGGTGATAGCTTTTCTAGTCATTGGGTTAGACCTGACACTCATTGGCCTGTCATACGTTCTGATCATCCGGGCCGTCCTCAGAATCCCCTCCAGGAAAGCCCACCAGAAAGCCCTCAACACCTGCACAACCCACGTCTGTGTGATGCTGACGTCTTACACTCCTTTCCTCTTCTCCAACCTAGCACACCGGTTCGGTCAGGGCATCGCTCCCCATGTTCACATCACCTTGGCCAACCTCTATTTCCTTTTTCCCCCCATGTTCAATCCCATCATTTATGGGGTCAAAACCAAAGAGCTTTCTGACCAAGTGGGAAAATACATCTGTAGAAGATGATCGCCTGTGGCAAATGACTTTAAATCCAAGTGAAATGAGATGGATAGACTACGTCTTTCGCCATCAATTGTGCTGTGTCACAGCATTGGGACAGTTCCCACTCTGCGATGTTCCTCACTCCTAACCTTCTATCATTCCATCACCAAGCACTGGTCTCTCTATTGCTCAGTTCCCTCTCTTTCACCATCATCTAAAGCACTTTCTGCATCATTCATCAGCCCCCAACTTCCTGTCACTTGGCCTTTCCTTGTCTCCCAGACCACTAGACTCTTTGTGAACAGGGTTCTTGATCAGCTTGATGAACCAAAGTTCCTCTTTCACATATTCACAGCCAAAAAAAGACACCACAAGGCACAAAGTTGACCTTCTCTATGGTATGAACAGAGCGCCAGATTTACGTGATGTTTCTATGTCCAATCCGTCAGGAAGACTGGAGAAAAAAACTAAATGTTTCCATCGGATAGTGCTAATACAGGAAAGCTGCTGCAGGATTTGAAGACATTCTACCAAAGCCTGTTGCTGAGAATGATGAATCCATGTTTTTTTAAGAACCAGCCTGTTGTGTTAAACTGCAACATTGTCTTGGAGTGAAATAAATTAGCACTTTCTACGCAGCTGATTCTAGAGTTGCTTTTCAGGTGGAACTATCAAAATATACACTAAGCATTCTGACCGTTGATGGCATCAAAAGCTGTTGAGTTTTCGTCTTGGAGTTTGGGAACCAGATGAAGCAGCGAATGCCACCGGATATACAGATGATTGAATCGCTTGAAGTACTAAGTCCTACTGTGCTTGACCCTTCATGGTCCGGATTGACTGATGTCTCATGTTTGCCAGTGTTTGTAGAGAATTTGCACAGCTGAAGCAGCACAGGAAAGTTTTGCCTATAGCTCACTGGACTCCTAATGGGACAGCCAAGTAAAACTGTTTAGGGTTCAAGTTCTTGTAAACACAGATGCAGCGGAAGACATAGATTTTAGTGAATTTTCTTTATTTGAATTTGTATTGCTGTTGCTTACTTTCAGTAACGCTGCTGTGGAAAGACTGCTCTGTCAAATAAAATTGATAAAAAAAGAACAAAGAAAAATTGTGCAACAGGGTACAAGAAGAACTTTACAAAAATATTTTTTTCTTGTTAGGACGTGTTTTCAACAAAAGAAAATAGGTGGTGGATAGTTTTAATCCACCAAAGTAATGATTATATTTCTCACTGCAGATATGCATGGCCAGCCGCAGAAGTATATTATCATGATAAAGACAGCGAGAATGACATGTTGCCTTTCAGGCTATGTCTAGACTGCAAGCCTCTTTCAAAAGATACTTTCGAAAGAGCCTCTTTCAAAAGGGCGCGTCTAGACTACAATACGCGGATCGGAAAATCGATCCGCTTTTTCGAAAAAGAGCGTCCTGACTGATGGACGCTCTTTCGAAATTAAAAGCCACCCGGAACCGCTTCTGCCAGAGCATGGGGGCAGCATTTCCTTCCGGGTGCTGCTGCCTGCCTGCCCTTTGCAGAGACGCGGCGTGGTTAAAGGGACACTCCTGAACACCCGTTGCTCTGCTCCTGCAGCTGCCTTTGCTGTCCCTCTAGGAGGTAAGCAAGGCATTGCAGTGCTGGTTTGGAGTGCTCAGCTTCCTGGGACACCCCAGCAG